CTTTATTGATGTAATTTGTATATATCGTACTAAAAAAATGGAGTTCATAAAAAAACTATTATTTTTTCAATAAATGGTACCACTATTAATGTATAAAAGCATTACAGTTTATATCAACACAATCCATACACTTTTCCCAAAAAAATCCTCTTTTAGAAAATGTTCACTTTTTCTAAATTTTTTTCAATGAGGTATGAATACTACGATTAGTAATTAGAAGCACAAACAGCTGCCTGTAGGGCGGCTTTTCTTCTCGTCTGTATTAATTCAAATATGTGGCTATAGTTAACTGTAAATGTTTAAAACTAAAACTGTGAGTTGATCGTTTAAAATTGCCATTTTTTGGTGGAAATTTAAGCAAGACAGGATCTGCTAAACCAATTTTTCATATACAACTTTGCACAAGTTTGGGGTTCGATCTCTTGCTTTGAAAAAACTTAACACAACTTCAAAATGTTGTTTTAGTGTTAATGAAAAGTGTTTCCAAAGAAAGACACATTTGCTCAAGCCATTCCTTTTCGACCTCGATTTAGCCTGTAAGAATGGTTTTTAACATGTTCATGACGTCTAGAATGCTCTGATTACTTAATTCAAACAACAATAAACGTTGTGATGAAATCAACTGAACTGCAAATGTTCTTTTTTCAGATTCCTCTAAATTTATCCATTTATTCAAAATCAGAGATGTTTTAAAAATATAATTTCAGACCCAACTCTTGTCTTTCATAAGTCACTGCTCAAGAGGCCTTTCTTGTAATACCAGAACCCGTCTCTTTGGGTGGACAATGAGAAACAAAAGATTCTCCGAAGCTCTATTTATATATATAATACAGTGTTTTTCTCTCGGTGGGTCAGTGATATGTTTACGAACTTAAAATGTTAATATCTGTGGTTCAGTTCCCTCTGTTGGACAGGACATAGATAGTCAATTGTTTAGCTTTGCGCTAAAACAAATAAGATTTGATGTCATTCTAATTTCAATTTTTTTATAAGTTTCCCAGTATTTTATGAGAATAACAGTAAAATTGGCTAAAATAATAATAAATTAATGAAGAGACAGAAAATGTTTTTGTGCATATATAAATATTTGTACTAAAAAACCCGAATTTTTTATCTTTTGTTAAATCAATCTTATATATATATATATATATATTCGATAATATGACTCGTGGCCAAATGCTTAAAATGTTACAATTAATCAGTTTATTGGACATAACAAAGAACATTTATTATATTTTAAAAGCTGTTCTTAATTATTATTTTTACCTTGTCTTACGAAATACTTCTTGAGTTAACCAAGTGGTTATTATTCCCTAATATTTTTGAATTAAACTTTGTAATCGTCAGATTACAAACAAGAACTGTTGTAGTTAAAATTAACAAAATGTACCTTGTTTGTGGAACAGAAAATTGATCGATACTTTACTGACGCTCAATACAAACTTGTAGAAGATTCGCGTGAGGCTCGTGATTTCCTGGACGTTTCGGGAGAGCTTTCTTTAAAAATTAAATCAGGGAAAGTAAATATCGCTGGAATGGGAAGTTATCTAAAAGAAACAGCCTCAAGATCCAATACTGTAGAAATTTTGGTGAAAGTACACTACGAAACGGTAAGCTATTTATGTATTTTATTAATATTAATCGTGTATCTATAACTAGCAGTTTTCGAATATTGAAAACAAATTCTATCAACTTATAATACATATGTGTTAGAGCAATTAAGTAAATCCAAAGCTTAAGAACACTATTTACAAATAAAGAAACGTTATTTTTGTCATGCTCTCTCTCAAAACGTATGTGCATGAATTATTGATAAAATATTATATTGACTAAAAACTTTCCAATACTAAAGAAGCTGTAAAGCGAAACGTTAAGTGTCTAATTAAATAAAAACAACATTTTGGTGGTATAAGATTGTTTATTTCTAGTATTAATATGTCTTCTATACACTACAGAAATTATATAAACACAACACACTGAATAAACGTGGAAATTATCACTACTAAGATACGATAACTCTCACGACTAACACTTAAGTGAATCTCTCGTTAACTCACTATTTCACTGATTGACTTACTAATTCCATGATTCTAGTATTTATACTTTACCCTTGTTTCTATTTACTGCACGAAATTTCCAGATCAAAGAACTAACTTTTTTATAAATTTTATAGACATTGTGTCCTGTGCTTTCTAGCAACCATCTAAATTAAATTATTGAAAACAGAGCTTAAAAATAGGTTATTTGGCGCAATAATTATTCGCAACATCATTCCAAGTGTTGCGTCAGCGAGGTCACGTGACTAGTGTCACGCCACGTTTCTAGAAATATCTTGTTCCTTCGTGAATGCCCTAGCATTTACTAGATATAGGGTAGTCTGGTATATATAAGATGGTCACAACGTGACGGAATAATGTGTGTAGGTAGTGAGTAATTGAACTGCAGTCAGAAAGTATTGTTGAAGTTAACGTCGTTGTTATAGCGTTGTTATAGAACGGCTGTTGAAAATAAGTGTATCGGTAAAGTTATATTCAGAAAGAATAAACCAGTTTTATTAAGAAAGGACTTGTGTCGCTAAAGTTTCGTCGGAACGAAGTTACGGAAAATCGATTAACAAACGGAGACGTAACAAACTGGTGTCAGAGAGTGGGATAAAAAAATGGAAACGAGAAACGGCAAATCAAACTACAGCATAGCAGACTTAATGGCAGCAATACAAGAACAGCAAAAGAAACAAGAAGAACGAGAAGAGAAATTACAGCAGTTGTTGGAGGATAAAGAAAAGAAACAAGAAGAAAGAGAAGAGAAATTACAGCAGTGGTTGGAGGAAAAAGAAAATAAACAAGAAAAAAGACAACAGCAGTTACAAGAAAACCTAAAACAATGGCAGCTTGAACAGCAAAATAAACAAGAGAGATTACAGCAGTTGTTGGAGGAAAAAGAAAAGAAACAAGAAGAAAAATTATAGCAGTGGCAACTGGAACAAGAAAGGAAACAGGAAGAAAGTCAGCAGCAACTACAGGAAAGCCAACAACAGTGGCAAGAAGTACAAATGGAAAACATTAGTAAATTTAAAAGCGAATTAGATACGTTAAAGAACGATTTATTGTCTGTTACACAAGGAGGATACATTAGCCATCGACTTAATCAGCACCAGACAATGACAAGCCCCTTCCAGACCCCGCAGCTAAACCCTAATGCAGACATATTCAGTCCCGTTAGAAGCCATATCCCAGATATGAACGTCAGTAATAGGAGTGATCCAGTGCGAAGGAAGCCACAGGAATTCGATGGGAAGGCACCGTGGGAAGCATATAGAGCACAATTTGAGCTACTGGCAGAGATGAATGGATGGACAGAGGAGCAGAAAGCTGTATATCTGGCAACGAGCTTGAAGGAACAACCACTGGAAATACTTGGACAGTTGACAGCAGCCGACAGACACAACTATAGAGCACTGATAGAGGCTCTGGAACTCAGGTACGGACCCGAAAATCAGTCAGAAGTCTACAGGGTCAGGTTCAGGACGAGAGTCCGTGCAAAGGGGAGAGCCTGCAAGAGCTGGCACAGGACTTGGAAAGCATGTCACACAAGGTCTACCCG